CTCCCTTTCCCTCTCTCTCGCTTCATCTCCCTTACCCTTTGTAGTACTCTCTCTTTCCTTCTCTCGCTCTTTTTTTTCTCTCTCTCTCGTTTCATCTCTCTTACCCTTTGTAGTACTCTCTCTCCTTCTCTCTCTCTTCTCTCTCTCTCTCTCCTTCTCCGTGTCTTCTCTCTCTCTCTCTCCTCTCTTTTCTCTCTCCCTCTCTCTCTCTTCTCTCTTTTCTCTCTCTCTCTCTCTCTCTCCTCTTTTCTCTCTCTCTCTCTCTCTCTCTCTCTCTCTCTCTCTCTCTCTCTCTCTCTCTCTCTCTCTCTCTCTCTCTCGCTCGCTCTCTCTTGCTTTCTCCATCCACCTATGTATACGCGGCCCTCTCTTCTCTCTCTCTCTCTCTCTCTCTCTCTCTCTCTCTCTCTCTCTCTTGCTTTCTCAATCCACCCATGTATACGCGGCCCGCCGCTCTCTCTTACCCTCAGGATCTCGACTCTTCTCTTTTCCACCGTTGCGGGATCAATAAGCCTTGGCCCCATTCTCATTGGCACCTTTCTAATTGAGCACTCTCTCCTTGTCTCTCTCTTCTCTCTCTCTCTCTCCTTCTCCGTCTCTTCTCTCTTCTCTCTCTTCTCTCTCTTCTCTCTCTTTTTTTTTTCTCTCTCTTTCTCTTGCTTTCTCCATCCACCTATGTATACGTGGCCCGCAGCTCTCTCTTACCCTCAGGATCTCGGCTCTTCTCTTTTTCACCGTTGCCGGATCAATAAGCCTTGGCCCCATTCTCATTGGCACCTTTCTCATTGAGCACAATGCGAACTTACTACGATTTCGGGTGTAGGATAACGATTCCATACCCGATGTGGCGCCTTTTTTTTTCCAATACTCCCTCGTCATCAATATTCTGTAATAATTTGGGGGGGGAGGGATCAACCTCCTGAGGCGTCCCCACTACAAACTCGATGGCCCCCTCGATATTGGATGTTTGAACCTGATGTGGCTGATCGACACTTGCCACCAATGAGAGCTCGTGGAATCTGCAATTAGAGTTGGTCGTTAACTTAACAGTCTGTGAGAGAATCAAGCGTTACTGTCCTTCCACTCCGGAGATATTATGTCCGATATAGACAGTTGCCCCTGGTGAGATAAAGAGAAAGAGAGGACGTGGTGGATGAGTCGCTAAGAGAGAGAGAAAATAATAATAATAATAATAGCGGTTGTAGGCCAAAATAGTGGAATGAATTCAGCCACTATCATATGAATTTGTGAAAACCTGAACATCCTCAGCGTCGAACACTCATTTGCTTTGTCGATGAGCAAATTCATCCATTACTGCCTTCATATCCGGATCATGTTTTTGAGCCCACTCCAGCCACTCTGCTCGCTCCCTCATCTCCTCCTGCTTTTCCTCCCACTGCTCTTTCCAGTAATCCCTTACATACTCCGGTGTCTCGGGGTCCTCATTATCTTCATCCCCTTCGGATTTTAAAGACATTCTGGATAACTCCTCCGCAGCTACCACAGTTGGGGAATTCTCCACATTCGTTCCGCGTGGGGAAGTACCCATGCTATAATCCTCTTCATGTTTTCTAATTTCTTTCAACAACGTCGCTGCCATCTTCTGGCACCGATAACAATGCGCAACCAGTTGTGCATGCGACATATTTTGCATTTCTTCTTTAGAAAAATCAAGGCGAACGTATTCCCAGGGGATTGTAGCCATTGTACACGTTTTCGATCGATAACCGTTCACTGGTTTTGTCGAAAGCCCAAATACTCCTCTGCAAATGTTTAACAATTCCCGGTCCTTTTATAATATCTGCAGCCTTGATATGCCCCGTAACTGCAAACATCATCACCTAATATCAAAAGTTCGCTCAAAGTTACAACTACGGATCGTCCACAGTTATAACGACTGCTTGATTTATGTGATCCGTTCACTTGCTTACTAATAAACTCGATGCAATGGAAAAAATAACTGAACTATAAGGAGTGTACGTGCTGACAACCAAGCAGTGTTTTCGTCGTCTGCCCAAATAGCCAAAAAACAAAGGAGGTACATGGCGGTCCATCTTCGCGACTCGTAGCACAAGATGAATTCCAATTCTGCACATTTAATGAGTTTTTGAGGAGGCCCGTCGGGGTTTCCTCATTCTGCTGCGCCCGCCGGTCCACTACAGTAAATAAATAAGTGCTAACGTCGTGTATTAATTATAATAACCGAAAAAGCAAGGTCGTAGATTACGGGGCATCTTCCCAGCTCGTAGCGAACGATGGACTCTATGCACATTCGGTTAATTGTTGGGGCGGCCCGCCAGGGTTTACTGTCATTCTGTTGGGCCCGCCGATCCACCACAGTAAATAAAAGTAAATAAATACGTACCTCTTTGTTCCCTGCCTCCAGAACTCCACCGGAGTTCCGGCAGAGCTCCCGCAATCGATTAATGTTTAAAACCTGTTTTTTTACGAAATGATTTGGGAAAAAAAAATTGACATACCTTGTTATTCCCTGCCTCCAGAACTCGTCCCTAGTTCCAACAGAGCTCCCGCAATCGACAATTAATAGTAATTTGCACGTTAGCGAATGACAACGCATAATAAAATGCTATTTCTGTAATCCTTTTCACTAAACAATAACATCATTTAGCAACAATTCTTTTTCTTACCTCTATCTCATTATTCAGCAACCTCGTTACTATTCTGTTTTTCGAGTGTCTGTTTAAACCACCAGTACCTCGCTCAGTGTTCGGCCGCGGGGCTTCCCGTATACGCGCCGCAGCCTCAGGCTGGTCGGCCAAGGGAAGGCCCGGTCGTAGCGCCAAGGCCGGCCCCCACTTATGTAGGGATGACACACGATCAAAAAAGAAAGAAGAAAAAAATAATGAAATATACAAACCAAAAAAAAAAAACGGGAAAACAGGTGAAGTCGTGAGAGAGAGAGAGAGAGAGTCCCGTTTCGAAAAACGAAACGGGAATGCATCTTTCCGCTATCGCGCGCGGGAAAATGCATTCACGCTCCCTTTCTCGAACGAGCTAGAGAGAGAGAGAGAGAGAGAGAGACAGAGAGAGTGACGGCGACCTGCACTCTCTCTGTCTCTCTCTCTCTCTCTCTCTCTCTCTCTCTCTCTCTCTCTCTCTCTCTCTCTCTCGCGTCGCAGCTGGCCTCTTGGTACTGCGCCCTCGATGGGATGAGCAAAATTGAATGAATCTGACACTATAACGTGGGAATATACATCGCCTTGTTTTTGTGTGAGTGTGTGTGTGTGTGTGTGTGTGTGTGTGAGAGAGAGAGAGAGAGAGAGAGAGGGAGAGAGAGGGGCGTCGAGGTCGCCGCCTTTCTCTCTCTCTCTCTCTCTCTCTCTCTCTCTCTCTCTCTCTCTCTCTCTCATCGCGGCTGGCCTCATGGTACTGCGCCCTTGCTAGGATGAGCAAAATCGAATGAATCTGGCACTATAGCGTGGGAATATACACTGCCTTACTTGTTTTTGTGTGAGTGTGTGTGTGTGTGTGTGTGTGTGTGTGTGTGTGAGAGAGAGAGAGGGGCGGCGAGGTCGCCGCCTCTCTCTTTCTCTCTTTCTCTATCTCTCTCTCTCTCGTCGTGGCTTTCCTCATGGTACTGTGCCCTTGCTAGGATGACCAAATCGAATGAATTTGGCGCTATAGCGTGGGAATATACACTGCCATACTTGTTTTTGTGTGAGTGTGTTTGTGTGTGAGAGAGAGAGAGAGAGAGGGCCAGTGAGTTCGCTGCGACCCTCCGTGCAGGTCGCCGCCTCTCTCTCTCTCTCTCGCGCGCGCGCACGCACGCGCGCGCGTCGCGGCTGGCCTCTTGGTACTACGCCCTGCATAGGATGAGCAAAATCGAATGAATCTGGTGCTATAGCGTGGGAATATACACTGCCATACTTTTTTTGGTTTATTTTTTTCGGTTTTGTTTTTCGTTTTTTTCGTTCGTCTCACTCCGACGTTCGGGATGCCTGCGCCCGGTACTCCGAGCCTCGGCACGGATCAGCGTACCGGTCGGCCGAAGCTCGGACTCGATAGCTGGGCCAGGTACTGGTGGTTTAAGTTAAATATATACTCAGCTTTTCGAGTGTCTATTTGAGCTATTTATATACTCAACTTTCCGAGTGTCTATTTGGGTTGTTTATATAAATTGATTTATCACAAACTGGTTTCACTAGTACTTTGTATTTCCTCGTTACTCGTTTTATTTGCTACTCAGTTTTACAAATGTCTGTCTGGGTGTATTTTTTTTTATTCAAATTGATTTGACACAAACCGGTTTCACTACTATTTATTTTCAACCTCCGTATTTGGGGTTGACCTTGCAAGCAAAAGGATATATGGAGCTGGTTTCACTACTACTTTATATTTTCAGCCTCCGTGTTTGGGGTTTACCTTGCAAGCAGACGGTCATATCATCAAAATTGTTACTTATATTTGATCATTATTTGTGCACGTCCCTTTTAGCAAACATTTCACAGTATGTGCATTGAGTTGAAGTGTTTCGTTGTTTGGCGCGTGAGTGATGTCAAAGGACATTTCGATTGAGCTTCTTGCCATTCGAAACGATGTACAATTGCGGGTTTGGACTGACAAACTTCACACGATGCATCATTGGTGTGCTTCCTTGCGGCCGTCTTTTAAGCCTGAACACTTTTCCAATTTCTTAAAAACATCCCAAAGCATTGTTGTCTGAATGACATTAACGTCCCAAAGCATTTTTGCCTGAATGACATTCTCTGCCCTTCGACATTTCTCTTCCTTCTCTCTCAACTTAGCGCTCTTCGACATTTATCTTCCCTCTCTCTCAACTTAGCGCCCTTCGGCATTTCTCTTCCCTCTCTCTCAACTTAGCGCCCTTCGACATTTCTCTTCCCTCTCTCTCAACTTAGCCAACATGCTTTCCACGTCCTAGTTTGTGAGGTGCCCCTTAATCTTCGCCCCCAACAATGACTCTCTTATTTCACCAGCATCGTCCTTTGTCACTTGCTCTTCCCAACCCACCCGCTCTTCCCAACCCGCCCGCAACACGGACACTATATGTTCAATCTCCGGTTCGCAAATATCCTCGCTCTTTAGGTGCTCTTCTATCTCCGGCAATAGCAGTGACCCAACCCGTCTCATCCCAGCATCGTCCTTTGTAACTTCCTCTTCCCACCCCGCCCGCAACATTGACACATACCGTTTCATCTTCGGCCCGCACTTATCCGTGTCTAAATTTATCAAGAAATTATTCATAATGTGTATTCTTACCGCGACTGCCATCACATTTATCTGATCATTGTAAATTTTGGTCGCTGACTGAATCAATTTTTTCAATTCTTTGATCATCTCGTCTATATATTCTTCTTTGTTACCACCCTCGTCCGACATCTTTCCCCGGCCAGTACGTCTTTCACTTTCTTCCGCGCCTCCTTCGTCCTTGGACACATTCCTTTTTCGATCAACATAACTCTCGAGCGATTTCTCTGCCATGCTTCTTTCTGCTTCTTGTGACAAAGAATGTATGACCTGCCATAAAGGGGAAACAAAAAATTTGAGTTAAAAGTCCAGATTGGTACATTAGCTACGTGCATAGCCCTATTTAAATACAATTTACGCCTATGGAGTCTATGATGAGGTCGCAAATAAATTTTAGTGACTGGGTATTGATTAGACTCACTGTTCATCGAGTTCATGTTTTTATTAATTCCACATCCTCGTATGTTTGTCGTTTCTTGGACCGATTACCGATTATGTTCATTGTCCATTTAATTGCTAGGTTGTTTCATCTGACGTCCGGGACCCTCCTTACCGTCCGGGGTGTCCAACCGGACGTCCCGTCGAACGTCGGATCGGACAGGGAATTTCCGACAAAAAACAAAAACAATAATAATAATTAAAAAAAAAATAATCATGTGGCTTCTACCTTGCAAATTTTGCCTCTCTCTCTCTCTCACACACACACACACACACATATGGACTGCGCAGTAATTGCCGGCACACTAAGACTAAAATAAAAGTATTGTGTAAAAGCGGTCAACTTTGTGATTGACTTATTGGTCTACCCATCGCTTGAGAATTTGGTTCACCAATGACGCGAGTGGTTAACCGATTGTTGTCTTCATTGGTTAACTGGGTGGTTGACTTGTCGATTGAACCACTCCTCGAACTGAATGGAGTAACAGATTCGTTGTCTTGTTGGGTGCCTGGTCACACGACTGATACGTTAACTGAATGGAATTATTCACCGAGTTATTGTATGGGTGGTTGAATAAGTTGAGTAAATGCCTGACTAATTGACTGATTGGTTGACCGATTGTTTGACAACTTTGTTGACTGGGTGGTTTATAGAGTGGTCGACTTTGTGGATGACTGGCTGAGTAGTAGAATGATAAGTTGACTGAATGACTGACCGATTGACTGATTGACTGACAGTTACATAATATATATAGAATTTATACATACTATAGAGAGAGAGACAATCATAATTTCACTATTCTATATATTTAACTAATATATATATATATATATATATATATATATATATATATATACAATTACATATATATATATATATACATACATATATATCGTCACAAATTTATGTATGAACTTTTATGAAGTCTTAAAAAACAAAGTACGAATTTTTAAACTGAGTGGTTGACGGACTGGTTTAGTGGTGATTGACCCAGGGCCGGATGGTTGACTGAGTGGGTGATCCTGCAGACAGAGCAGTTGACTACGCAGCAATTGTGGCACACTAAAACCCAGGGCCGGATGGTTGCTACCTTAACTGCCCGATCGAGTAAATCATCGACTGCCTGATTGAAAGAGTGATTAACCAATTGGATATTTGTTTTTCCTCTTCCTCCACAATAAACGATAACGGACAGATGTCACCATGCCAATGTAGAAAAAGTTATAATTCTCGAAAATAAACCTGGCAGCGAGATCAAAAATAATATCGATAATTAAAAAATGGACCTTAAATCTTATAACATTTCGAAAAATGATGTACCTTATCATAGCGACCTCGATATGATTGGCTAACGACAATATTGAAAATGTCGTACCCAACCAACTACAGTTGACTGATTGTAATGACAGCAACTGTAATGACGGCAATCGGTTGCCTGCCGATAATTCCACCAACATTTTAGACAAGATACGACCGTGTCAAGCACGACACGGCCTTTCTCATCCTATATTATCAGTGGAAGTAAAAATAGACACCTGCATGATATGACCGCGTCAAGCACGACGCGGTCTTTCCATCGGGAGCAAAGAACAACTGCCATATCAAGCACAATATGGTCGTTACTCTTTGACAACCACGAACGGAAATTGTCCGGCAGCAAACAATGTGCAAGTTGCAGAAAGACACCATGTCAAGCACGACATGGTTCCTCCATTGTCTATAGTATGTGGAAACTATACGGGTTTCAAAACCAGCTATAGTCAGCATTGATCAAAAGAGTAGCATTCACTTGTCTATCGATCATCCCACTAGCATTTAAGACAAGATACGACCGTGTCAAACACGACACGGTCTTTCTCATCCTATATCAGTGAAAGTAAAAGATAGACCTTATATAAGACGACCGCGTCAAGCACGATATGGTCTTTCGACCCGGAGCAAAGAACAACTTCCATATTAAACACAATATGGTCGTTACTCTTTGACAGTCGCTTGCCTATCGTTAATTCCACCAACATTTAAGACAAGATACGACCGTGTCAAGCACGACACGACCTTTCTCATCCTATATATTAGTAGGAGTATAAGATAGACACCGGCATGATACGACCATGTCAAGCACGACACGGTCTTTCCACCGGGAGCAAATAACAACTTCCATATTAAACACAACATGGTCGTTACTCTTCGACAGCCACGAGCGAAAATGAACCGGCCGCGAATAATGTGCAAGTTGCACGAAGACAGCATGTCAACCACGACACGGTCCCTCCGTTGTGAATTATATGTGGAAACTGCTGCCTAGTTTGATGGCATGCTGTCTTCGCTTGCCTATCGTTAATTCCACCAACATTTTAGACAAGATACGACCGTGTCAACCACGACACTACCTTTCTCATCCTATATATCAGTAAAAGTATAAGATAGACACCGGCATGATACGACCATGTCAAGCACGACACGGTCTTTCCACTAGGAGCAAAGAACAACTTCCATATTAAACACAACATGGAAGTTACTCTTTGACAGCCACGAGCGGAAATCAACCGGCGGCGAATAATGTGAAAGTTTCACGAAGACGCCATGTCAACCACAACACGGTTCCTCCGTTGTGAATTATATGTGGAAACTGCTGCCTAATTTGATGGCATACAAGTTCCCAGCTGGAGAGAGAGAGAGAGAGAGAGAGAGAGAGAGAGAGAGAGAGAGAGAGAGAGAGAGAAGAGAAAGAAGAGAGAGAGGAGAGAGAGAGAGAGAAGAGACGGAGAAGGAGAGAGAGAGAGAGAAGAGAGAGAGAAGGAGAGAGAGTGCTCAATGAGAAAGGTGCCAATGAAAATGGGGCCAAGGCTTATTGATCTGGCAACGGTGGAAAAGAGAAGAGCCGACATCCTGAGGGTAAGAGAGAGCGGCGGACCGCGTATACATAGGTGGATGGAGAAAGCAAGAGAGAGAGAAACAGAGAGAGAGAGAGAGAGAGAGAGAGAGAGAGAGAGAGAGAGAGAGAGAGAGAGAGAAAAGAGAGAGAAGAGAGAGAGAAGGAGAGAGAAGAGAGAGAGGAGAGAGAGAGAGAGAAGAGACGGAGAAGGAGAGAGAGAGAGAGAAGAGAGAGAGAAGGAGAGAGAGTACTACAAAGGGTAAGAGATATGAAGCGAGAGAGAGAAAAAAAAAAGAGAGAGAGAAGGAGAGAGAGAAAAAAGGAAAGAGAGAGTACTACAAAGGGTAAGGGAGATGAAGCGAATTTATCTATCAATCAATTACTCCTCGGGGTTTATTGAGCATATCGAGATGTCACAATATTTTCACCTATGTAACACCTAAAAAAAATAAATAAAAAAAATCACAAAAGAAAAAGGAGAATAATATGTAAAAATGATTTACACATATTTGAACCAATACCCTATTTCAAAATGATTTACCCTGCTGACGCACTACCCTCTTCCCAAATGAAGATTTTCCCCAACTCTTTGAATGCTTCAACGATTATTTCGGCAATTAGAACTCTTTCCTCTGCACTACTCAATTCCTCTTCTACCCTTCCACTTTCTGCTTCTTTCTTATTTTATCATCATTTTCTACAACTTCGTTAAGTCTTATTTTTCCCTCCACACTTGCACGCGCTTCCGCCTGCGCCATTTTTAATGTTTTTTTAATGGTTTTCGCCAAAAGAGTGTTTCTCTCCACTTCCTCTCGCTTGCTAATCCTTCCCACTGACGCACTATCCTTTTCAAAATGAAGATTTTCCCCAACTCTTTGAATGCTTCAACGGTCATTTCGGCAATTAGAATTCTTTCCTCTGCAGTGCTCAATTCCTCTTCTACCCTTTCCACTTTCTGCTTCTTTCTTATTTTATCATCATTTTCTACAACTTCGTCACGTCTTTTTTTTCCCTCCACAATTGCACGCGCTTCTGCCTGCGCCATTTTTAATGCTTCTTTAATGACTTTCGCCAAAACAGTGTTTCTCTCCACTTCCTCTCGCTTGCTACTCGATTCAAAATCGCAATTTGTAAATCTGTCTGTGAGATCCTTCAGGCTGTGCTGGAGTGCTGTTATTTTTCTGTCCACATCCTGACAATTTTCCTTAAATTCTTGCATCTGCCGGTCCATTTCCTTCTCCAATTCACATCGTATATACAATCTGGTGATCGGTACGGCGGCTACTTCAAAAAGTACTTCTTCTTCCTTCGCCATACAGTCCTTGCTTTCTGTACTGCACACCTCGACCTGATCTTCTGCTTCTCCCATTGACGAACTCTCAATAATCTCTGGCATAAGCTCTCTGGTAAACTCATATGCTTCGCCCGCAGTTTTGATCCGTCCGCGTGCCGCCTCGTGTACCTACAAGGCCAGTTGTCTATAATTAGGTACCTGCCTTTCACCTCAAAATTTGATTCCAAACACAATAAGCGCTACACTAAGCTTTTGACAAAGTCTTTCACCGACAGTCCAGTCTGCTGAGTAATTGGTATTGACTGTTCAACGGAGTGCTTGCCTGACCACCTACTTTCATCTACACGTTTGCTAGCTTGTGAACTAATCAATTGAACAACTTATTTGCGAGATCTAACCACTGGACTTTTTGACTCTTTCCTCCGCTCAATAATCAAAGGGCAACCTGATGTGATGTCTAAATCGGTTTGGATTACCTATGAAAAATCGTGAGATCAACTAAGGGACTTCACTGATCAAAGAGTTGAGTGGTTCATTGATTTGTTACCCTTATTTCCCCGACTGATTTGTTTGCCTCATTGGCTCACTAGTTATGTGGGTGGTCTGAATACTTGCTTATTCAGTTAACATGTAGTTTGACCGAATGGTTATCTGATTGTTTG